GTTATCTGGTACCTGTAACACAAGTTCTTTACGAACTTACCACGGGACCAGTTGACGTGGCGTGATTGTTAGTAAATATTTATTTATTAGAGATGCACCACGTGAAATGTTTACACAGACACGCAAGAAAATTTTCTCTTTCAATTTTAGGCTGCCTTCCTCGCACTATGATGTGATAAGATTTTCTCTGTTACATATAATAGTTGTCATAAAATAAAAAAAAATACCTACATTTACAGACAATTTTGTCGAAACGAGGAAATTAATTCGAAATCTGAAATTGTTAATGCCACGACAATATTATTTTAAAAGAATTTCTCTGACTGACGAGAAACAATAGGCATATACACAATTAGTTTACCTCCCAATGTCGTTTTTCAGTTTTTACTGCGATACTTTTTATAGAAGGCTTTGTCCTCTGTTCTCCGGTATTTAATTTCCTTCCTCCCTGTACTTAGGTTTCCATTTGATCAAGACGGGGGCGTTTTACGTTACGGATTCCCAGCTGCGAAGTCGTTTGTCGGATTGGGATGTAAGTCAACGTCTTTTATCGAAGGAAATAAAAAGAAAATACCCTTACGTTCTGGCAATTTTTTCATAATTAGTGCATTGATTGTTTTATGTCAAAAAATACGTGTAAATATCGCTGATTCATTCATATACGTCATTTTGATTATTGCAGGTAATCAACAGTCGTACTCAAGACCTCAAGACTCAAGAAGCAGAAGAGAGCAGTGTAGAAAAATGTCCATGTTTTGACAACTGTATTCGAGTGTGTGGAAGAGTTTTAAAAATTCTCTAGCACCATTCGAATTCAGTGCTCGAACGTGGTTATCCAACACGAAGATTTCTCCAAACGTCTTTCTCAAGAAACTTGATAACGTAATTTACTGATAAACTTACTTTATGAATTTATGAATAAAGTTTTTAAAAATGTCGGAAGCACGAAATGTCAGTCTAATCAATTATAAAATATTGAGTGATGCGTACGATGGATGAGTTGATATAAATAAATTAAGAAAATTTTTGTTACTGCTTAAATGGGTGAACGAGTTCACGGCCTACCTGGTGTTAATTGGTTACCGGAGCCCATAGACATCTACAACGTAAATGCCACCACCCACCCTGAGTATAAGTCTCAGTTTTTACAGAACAACGGATGCCCCACTCTTCGAACCGAAACGCATTACAAATGTTTGAATATGTTTGAAATTTACGAAATTCTATTCACAGTGTACAGTTCACAGTTAGGTATATAAATAAAAGAGAAAAAAAACTGAAGCTTTTTGTTTTTTAACTCTTAAAAAAGCGTTGAGAGTCGCAGAATGACGTTAAGTTATAAAAATCTAATCTGTTGCTTATTAGCCCCGGAGATTGCTAGTAAATTTCAATCTACTCTTAGTTTCCGTTTGATTTATGTGTATCTACCCTCTACAATAATATTAATCTCGAAAAAATGGAAGGTAAACATGTTGAATGGGATTTTGTGTTCTTTGTCATAAAAAGATTATTGAAACGGTTGTATAATATAAAAGATGTCACAAGCCATATTATACTAATATGTAGGTACTCTGAATCATTATGTTTCATGTAAATTTCAATCTACTCTCAGTTTTCGTTTGATTGATATGTATTTACCCCCTACAATAATATTAATCTCGAAAAAATGGAAGGTAAGCATGTTGAATGGGATTTTGTGTTCTTTGTCATAAAAAAGATTATGGAAACAGTTGAATAATATAAAAGATGTCACGAGCAATATTATATGTACTCTGAATCTTTATGCTTCAATAAAGTGATATTATTTGACTTCTAAGCTTATTTCAAGTAGACATTACCAACTCAATATCCAATAACAGTTCGAGTAGCTTCCACTTATTAATTAGATTAGTGAATTAAACAAAGTAGCGATCGTCTTCTTACAGCATATGTATATATATATTGGATAGCTACACGTTGTTATTTACGCATTTTTGTACCTATTTTACTACTCTCGTGTGAACAAGGATACTTCTGGAAATACCGCGGAGAAATTTAAATTAAAAGGCGTTAATTTTGGTCTCTGAAAAATCATTCCTCGGCATATAAAACTAATTAAATTTTTATCTTCTTAATCATTTCGTTTGACAGAGTGGTGGTGATCGATATGTAGCCTTGGAGGGGGCATATTTGACGCGTCTCACGATGCGCCGCCATGTCTCCCTGCTCAAGGCCATGTTGTTACACTCTTTTAAGGGACCTCCTGCTGACTTTTAGATGATCGTAAAAACGATGCCGAACACACTCTATAGATCATGTGTCTGATCTGGATGGGTCAACAGTGCTAATTCCAACGTTGTCATGTTCACTTCTCGAGTTTAAATTTTGCGTTCGATATTTTTACAAGCGCATCAACTCATTAATTACTCAGGCACAAGCTTTTTATATTCTTTGTGTAGGCGAGCTAATGCCCGCTCTTCTTGTAAGCTTATTACATCCAGGCTTCAGGCCATGAATACTGTCGACCGCCTCGTTGAGATAACATTGCGTGCAAGATAAGTATTCAAACGGGCACGCATCATTCGTGACAGAAATGGGCTGGTAATGCTAACCATTGGGTCCTATCACGCTTTATCAATATTTCTTACATTGCATTAGGCATACGCGACGGTGCTTATGGTGTTAAGAGATTACTGAAACATATAGGTATCACAACGTGAATGACGTTGCTCACGAAAACTTGTGTATTTTAGCTTTTCGGATCTTACCTTTATCTTGACTTGTAAGAAACGAGGAAACCGTTTTTGAAACACAAAGCTATAAAAAACATATGTTAATAAAACGGTTCTTTGTATAAATTTCAATTGTTTGATATCTGTATTTCGCTCTTTTGTGTGTGACAAGGTTGCCGAGCACCGGTTTAGAAGGATGAGTGTTGTGGACCTCTTTGCTATTTTGATAACTAATGTAGTTTTTTTATATACTTCACTTTTGACGTTTGTCTTCATATTACCCATTTCTTTCTGTTTTCTTAATTTTCTGTTTTTATTAAAAAATAATCATTCTCAACTTGTTTCATCGTTTATCATTTTACAGAGATTTGTTTAGTTTGCTCATTTCATTTTGGTCCTTCACCAGTAATTTTCCAGCGTACCTATTTTTCATTACGTAGCTTTAGTTATTCGTTCATTTCGTAGTATTTGTTTTTATTTTCACTGCTTTATTTCATTTTTGTTTCTCGCTTAATGATCACCCGCAGTAAAAGTAAAATCATGCCGACAAACCCTGCGACTAGTACTGGTTTGCAAGTTAATATTATACAACCTAGTACTTCCCAACATGTAGACAGCATTGCTCCGAGTGAGACGTCTAAGTCAAAATCATCACGCTCGTCATCCACAATTAAGGCTCAAAAGGCCGCCGTAGAGGCCCTCGCCCTGCGCCGACGTCTTGAGCACGAGCAGGAGCTGGCTGAACGTGAGAGGCAACGTGAAAGTCGACTGGCAGCACTCCGTCAGCAGGTAGAGGAGGGCGAACTGAAGGCCGAACTTGCCGCTCTCGACGCGGAAGCCGCGGCAAGTCACAGCAGTCGCAGTGGTTCTGCCAGGGTAAGCGTAGAAAGAACAGAAAGATGGGTACAAAGTTTAGGACAGCCAGTTTGCGTTGGCGAAAATACAGTTAATAGAGGCATCCCCGCAGTAGGGCGAGAGCAAGTAGTGGTTCCGCCTCCCGGCCACCAGGCACCTCTGCCGGCCACTGGGTCAACTGCATCCCCTGTTAACCGTTTTGTTCATCAGAAACAACTTTTAAACGTCACTAAAGCGTCCGAGGCGGCCGTACTTACGCGACCGCTCATTTCCACGGAGGTTGATCAGAGTAGTCTGCTTCAGGCTGTTGCTGACACTGCAGCTGCGGCCAAGGCGCTTGCTACTTCGCACCGTCATAAACATAAGATCGAATTGTTTCCTTTCGACGGAGACGCCTTAACATGGCTACATTTCAAACGTATTTTTGATTTAACCAAAAACAATTTTTCAAATATTGAAAATATTAGTCGGTTACAAAATGCACTTCGCGGCGCGGCCCGAGATGCAGTCGCGTCACTGTTGCTGGCTACAGACAACCCGAACGATATTATAAGAGCTCTGGAGGAGAACTTCGCTCGCCCGGAAATTATAGTATTTAAGGAAGTCTCCGCTCTTAAAAATCTACCACGTTTGGGAAATGACTTGAAAGAGTTAATTACGATAACGAATAAGGTACGTAATTCTATATCTTCTTTTAAAATACTGAATCAAATTGAGTACTTGCATTCTCCAGAACTATTTCACGCCGTCTTAGGAAAATTAAACCCGGTTACTAAAGTAAGATGGACGGACTTTGCTATGCAAGATACTACAGGGCGTCCTAAATTAGAAATTATGTCCGATTTTTTGAGGCGCGAGTTAGATCAACTTATTCGGTTCGGTTTATCGGAAACAATTATGTATAATACAGAACATTTTTTTTTAAATATCCGTCTTTAAACGGCACCAACGCTAAATGAGAGCTTATTACCGTATCTCAATACTTCGTAGGTAAACTTCGGATTGGCCGAGTCCTTGTCAAAGTTAGCGACCTTTTTTTTTGTGATTGAAAGATTACTGGTGGCCCGGCGGCCTTTCCAGTTTCACCAGAACAGGTGGGCGAGCAAAGGCTCAGCCAGAAGGGGTGGGATTTGTTAACAGCTGCCCGAGCGCCTCCGAAGGAGACCTAACAACTCGAGAGCAACTGCTTCGCGAATGAATCTACTACCGGATCGGAATCGCGACCCTCTGAGAATATCCGGCGAGAAACTCAGCGAACTGATGCACGGCTTAGGAGTTTGCGACCCTAAATGCACAGAACAACATACGGAAAAACTGTTGAGAACTTCGCGTCGTTGTTCTTGAAGAATTTATAATCTGTTTATCCTTCAAACTGTCTATTTATGTACCGTTTCTATTTGTTATTCAAAAGTGAAAGTGAATGAAACAAATAAATTTCAAAGGCTATGTTTATTCGTATTATCTTCAATGACATGTAACCTCCTTAATTAATGTGCATAAATAGGAAATTATTATTTACATACATTCGTAGATCACGGTCTTAAAAAAATAATGTATTCAATGACAGCCAGCTGTCTACTATCTTACTTTTCGTAAATGGAAACAAAATAATTAAACAAATTTCTTAATCGAAATTTCACAAAATTCAAACTAAATTATCAAACGAAACCGTGTGTTTAACATTGTATTGACTTCAATATTTAATTTTATCTGAATTTTTTAAGTAATCAAAAAAATATATAATAATACGCGTGTATTCTTACGAGGAACATTAAAAAGTGTTTTAAAATTAAAAATTAGCTCCTTTAACTTTCTAGCCGTCTCATTCTAACGATACATCCTTACTATAGAAATGACTATTATTAATTACAACACATACAACTCGCAACTTATATCTACTAGTGACCGATGTGCAAAAGCGCTCCTTCTGAGGTAATAATTTACAATGTGTAAACTGGTGACTACTAATTGACTATTCATAATAGCTTAAAATAAAATTAAATAACATCCGATCGTTTACCCAAAAGCCCTAAAGGTAACAACAGAATTGTCATGGATTCGTGAGTTAAATATAACATGAAACGTTAATACAGGGCGCTCGACTCGTGCCCATTAACAAAATAACAGCGTTCTTTATGTTAAACAAGTGGGAATTTATCGACACTTGAGTTCAGAGCATCATGAGAACGCCTCGTATTTTTTTTACAAGGTCGTAAACCGAACCGCCTTTAGCCACAACAACCATTATTATATTACGACCCCGCTCCTTGTGATAATTTTCGTGGTTTGATCTTTCTTCTCGTTGTCCGAATTCAAATTGTGTTTCGACGATTGTATTTTCTGCCACGTTTCGCCTAAGGCCTTGCTGAAGTGGTCGTCCACGCCGCCTTTGTGATTCAATTGCGTTTTCTCATTCTCTTTCGATTTTGACGTTTGCAATTGCCGCCACGTGTCGCCTAAGGCCTTAGCGAAGTGATCGTCAACGGACAAACTGGGGTCGTCTATTTCCATAGCGATGATCTTGGTCGGTTTGGGAGGTTCTTCAGTCTTGAATAGTATAGGGCTGCTGGCTCTGTCCTTCATGTTGGGCTTAGGGCCGGGCTGGGCGTTTTCCGAGTTCTTCTTGAACAAGTTCATGTAATCGTCGCCAAGAGATCTTCTGAAATGCTCGTCGATCACTGGATCACACATCGACATGGAACCTGTTAGTAAAATACGAAAGTGTACATGTTGAAATCGATGATATTCACTCTTATCAGTTAAGTTGTGTTAGGTGACGACGTAATATAACTGGTGGTGTAACTGTCCTATACGTAAATACGCCACCCACCTTGGGATATAAGTTCTAAGATCTCAGTATAGTTACAACGGCTGCCCCGCCCTTCAAACCGAAACGCATTACTGCTTCACGGCAAAAATAGGCAGGGTGGTGTTACCTACCCGTGCGGACTTACAAAAGGTCCTACCTCCGGTAATTATGTTTTCGTTATTTCAAAATAAACTGTTTTTATGACTCGGCCAAACTTTGATTTCGCGTGAAATCGTTTGGGTCAATATATATGGCAACCATAAATCATATCATACATTAATACCAAACGTCACACATGATACGCTTTGTTAGTGGTTGGCCAAACGCGAAAATTTAGCATCACAAAATTAGTGATTTAATGATTCTGTGTTTTTCCTCCTACCTAATCGTGGGGGCTTAAGAGGCTATTCGAACTACGCACGGAATGATAGGTGAGCTCACGGGATTCAAGATCAGAGGATTTGCTAACAGTAGCCCCAGCAAAAGCATGCTTCGTTGAATTTACCACCGGATCAGAATACCCAGCCACTAAAAAAAACCCGGCGAAAAACATAGTAAACTAAACGATTCAGTATTGGTACAGTCTACTATTACAAATTTCTAGATTGTTTTGTAACGGTTTTCGGTTTCTTTGTAGGCAGACGAGCATACGGTATATTTGATGATAAATAGCCGCTGTTGCCCATGGACATCAGCAATACCAGGGACACATCGAAGCTGCTGCCTACTAAATACTGTTCAATGAAAGTTAAATAACAATATTACGTGCTTTTCTTAATTACAATACTATTGTATTGGCAAAGCCTCTTTCCAGGTAACAAAAATTTTTGAACACTACTCTTTCTTGTACTTCGTATTATTTAAGATAGATAAGTAGTATAGTAGTAGTAGTGGACGGAAAGAGACGTGCTGGGCGAAGAAAAAAGTCATAGCTCCGGAATATCCGGGAGTGGACCGGTATTGCCTCCGTCGAACAGCTGTTCCGGCTGGCTGCTGACAGAAATGAATATAGGAAGCTAACGGCCAACCTTCAGGATTGAAGAGGCACTGGAAGAAGAAGAAGAAGTAGTAGTATACCTACATATGATTTTAGAATCACGATTAGCTCACAATATTTTTTGTCTTTTTTTGTCTTTCAATAAGAAACAAAATTTTTAGGCCGTGCTCCTGGTATTGCTGATGTCCATGAGCGATCGTGGCTACTCACCTACGCGTGAGCCGTATGCTCATCGTCTGCCTGCAACTGTGATATAGGAAATTTAACAAGAATTACCTGGTGGGGTGTCGTTGCTTTTGGTGATGACTGAAGGGCGACTGTAGGGCGGTGGGGCGGGCCGGGACCGCAGCCGCATGTCTATGGGAGCCTCGTACTTGCTGCCCGGGTACTCGGGAGGCGCTTCTGCCGAAAACGATAGAACACTAATGGAAATAGGACACATTTCGCGGTCTACCTAATAATAATAATAACTGGGAACATCTCTCCATGTGTCGTTTCACGACATCCTTGTACCGGAGGAGCTGGCCGCCATGCTTTCGCTTGCCGTCCTGCAGTTCAGAGAAGAAGATGCGTTTCGCCACTGTTTCCTCTGCTATGCGTGTTACATGACCGCACATCTACAACGTAAATGCGCCACCCACCTTGAGATATAAGTTCTAAGGTCTCAGTATAGTTACAACGGCTGCCCCACCCTTCACGAAACTCATTACTGCTTCACGGCGGAAATAGGCAGGTTGGTGGTACCTATCTGCGCGGACTCACATGAGGTCCTACCACCAGTAATTACACAAATTATAATTTTGCGGGTTTCATTTTTATTAAATGATGTTATTCCTTCACCGTTGAAGTCAATCGCGACATCGCGACATCGCGACAAACATTTGTTGAGTACGTATTTCATTAGAAAAATTGGTACCCGCCTGAGATTCGAACACCGGTGCATCGCTCAACACGAGTGCACTGGACGTCTTATCCTTTAGGCCACGACGACTTCAAAACTTCTGTCAGAACATCTGATTTTCATGATGGTACGAAGGCATTTAAGATGGAAGCGATTCAGAGTGCGAATGTGGCGGCGGTACACACACCACGACTCAGAGGACTATAGGAGGTTTGGCAGCACAATTGCCATGTATATTAAAATCTTTATGTCGAAGTGGTCGTCATGACCGAAATCGGTCGGATGGATCATCATCATCAACTGGGAATAAATCACGGTCATTCAAGCTTAAATTAGGATTTCCTGTGTTATATTCCTGTGTACTAGAGACTAACATACATTCTCGTATAATAACTTAGATAATATAGTAATATATTGTAATGTTCATCATACGAATGTTTGCTCGAAGTGGGAATCGAATCCTCGACCCTCGACGCAACAGTTAGGGGCACTAACTACGGTACCGCCGAGTCAGCCAACAATGTAAGAATGAATTCGCGATCCACCTTGTGTTAAATGGTTATTGAAACACGCATGGGAAGGTACTACTTTCTGTTGTGCAAAGCGTGCTTTTTGTTTTTAAGAGTGGGACAACAATATTCTTTGTTTTGTTTTACAGTAAAATTGAGTTACGTCTTAAGATGCGTGGTATTCACCTCAGATATGGGGGTAGCTATGCACTAATAGACTGTGAATTCCGTTTAAGGAATTTAAAAAAAAAGATTAAAAAGATATATATATATATATATATATATATGTCTATGTATTATATTATAAAAGTTATTTTAATTCCGTCAAATGTATCGACGTGTTCAATAATTCAGTATCATTAATAGTTGTGTCTTACTTTTTCCGTTGACAGTGAGATTGGCGGGCCCGTCATCAGTTTCATCGGAGAGATCTCCGTCGCTGTGAGGCTGTGCACGCGTGAATGGGACCACGGTGCGTCTTTCGTTGAACGACTGCGATCTGAGCGCCATCTTCCCGTTCTCCCTTTAAACAAAATAGTTTAGGTACATTAAAACCGGAACAATCGATAAAATATTTAAACGTGTGGGTGCAGCTCTAATATCGCGCTGGGCTATCTGTGGTTTTGTTTATGGCGTCGTTTAACGTTTGATTTATGCTTATGTAACTACTCGAATATCTTTGTTATCGTAACGCTGTAGTGGAACGGCGAACTAGATACATTTCGATGAGTTTAGCTGAATTGAAGAATATATTTTTATTGTTTGAAGTAAAATAAATTACAATATATTTAAGACACGAGCAATTCTCGTCTTGTCACGTGAAAGAATACTAGTATACAACAGTACAAGGAGTGTCGTGGCGTGCAACTTTTTTGATAGGACGTAAGACCTAAAACGACTAGATATAGACTAAGACAGACACTTGACAAGAATTTGAAAAGAAATAAGGAGAGAAATAGAACGAGGGCGGACGTGACTAGCGGAGGCAGTACTTTTTGACTTCCTAAAATACAGATACGAACCAGGCGACAAGGAACGAACTGACCGTTCTCATATTATTATGTACATAGACATTAAAATAGACAGAAAAGAACGAACCGATCGTTTAAGGAGTATAAATAGTATGCGCACTCAGAATCTAGTCGACCTGTCCTGGTGAAACTGGAATGGCCCCCGAGCCACCAGTAATACATCAATTATAAAAAAAAAAATCGGTTGTCTGTAAAGTCGGTTTATTGACGACAGTTGAACGTGACAACGTCATAAGAACATACTGATTGAATGGTTTTATTTTTCAATTATTGCAATTATCGTTGCTATAAACAATTGACACCACATTCACTTTTCATTGAACTTCATACTTGACGAAAACATGTAAATGTATTATTGTATAGCAGCTGTCCACGCGGATGCATCGCTCACTCAAGTAGGAGAGAGACAGATGTCGAACGCTACCGAACGCGGAGGCCGATTGTGCCTCTTAGTCGCTCGTTGCGCGCTCTCGCTTGCACTTCAAGCCTTAAATGGAACGCCTCAATGAGTCATATTTTTTCGTGCCTCGTCAGCCTCAGCCATCAGATCAGCCCTGAAGTATAATACGGTCCCGATTTTAAACACTACTTTATCACTCACTTTGGTCTGTATTCAGGCAGACGAATTGATCTCCGTTCCCTCCTCCATTTTCCAGTAGCCTCTTTAGATTGGCTGCGTGGAGTCTCCGGGGACAAGGTGCGATCACCTTCCGACTCGCCACTGGAAGCCGTCGAAGGTGTCTCTGGAAAGAAATAATCGCAATATTTAGTATTCATTTTGATTATAACTTATCACAGAGAAAAACTTTTTGAAACAAAAAAAATCAGTTTTACTTGTGAATTTAATTTGTAAATGCAAGTTTATTTTAATATCTTGGAAATGCATTGTGCACTTGATCAATCGTGCAATCGGTTTAGTTCTGGCCACAAACTGATAATGTTCAAAATTAATTCTGACCTGGCATCATGTTACAATAAAATAATGCAAATGAAATACACAATGCAAACTGAGACAATCGCTTAGCCAAAACTAATTAAAATACGATGCTCCAAAACTAGTAATATACTAAGTACTTTAATATTACTTCTTTGTTAACAGGTTTTTTTTCTTGTTAATTATACTTAATAACAATAAAAATAATAAAAATTTAAATGATACAGATTAAACTGTTCCTTTCAACTGTATGACTTTTTTACGTGATTAAATTTTATGAACTGCCAGTGATGACAACCTACTCTAAGGTCAAATGAACCATTTGGCCCCTTAATGCTTTTCGTTTGAATGTTTTCAATACCAACTAAGATTTAAATAGATAAAACAATGTACACATCTAATCGTGTTGACAACGTATTTGATAAATAAACAAACAAACATGAGATAATCGTATGATATTTTAGATAAAAAGTTATTTGAATAGGTAAATGTTTGGGAGAAAAGAAACTACATATACTGACATATACTGTTTTCTTTTTTTTTTTTTCCTTCCTAATCTGTTAGCCCTAGGGGCTATGTCAGCGTAACCCTAACTTTAGTACGTGAGCTCACGGGGCTCAAACCTGATGACGTTGCTAACACGAACCCTAGCAAGAGCCGTGCTTCGCAGAATCTACCACCGGATCGGAAACGCGACCCACTGAGAAGATCCGGCGAGAAACTCAGTGGGCTGTGTCTGAGAGTTAATCACATACTGAATGATTCCTAAAGCCTTCATCTTTAATGAAAATCTGTAAAATTGTTTACAATACTATGCTGTGTAAATTACTACCAACATTTAACTGTAACACACTGTCAGAGAAAAAATTATTACAAAACGATGATAACGATGTTTCGTAATAAACATTAAATTAAATTATATTTTACAAAGCCTTTGTCATTTCATGAATTTACCATTTATTTCGATTAAATGAGAATTTTTTTGGGAAGTGTTATTAGTGTATTTATAATTTTAAAGAATTATTATTATTATTTAAAACGAACATCGATACGAGTGCATGTTTTCATCGGACGCTTTGAAATTGGTAATAATTATATTTATATTTTATAAACTACACCATTAAGTAGCTTTCTTGTAATCTAAAATACACCGAGTCAACATTACCTTGCTTCTGTTGCAGTGTGTAAAAAAGTATCAATACTATGTTAAATATTCAAACTTAACTAGAGAAATACCGCACCTTACTGAAGATATTTAAGGGAAAAAAATAGGGAAACAGTGTTGTTAAAGAACAAAAATTATATCCCAGCAGGTAATATATATTTTAGAATGAAAGAATATAAGAATATTTCAAGGCTTTTCTGTTGTGCTTTCTTTACCTTTTTCCGGAGATGGCATCCACGGTTGCCATAGCGGCAAACTGAACTTGGGCGACTGAGGTGGTTCCATCGAAAGTAAATGCAATCTCAAAGAAGTCTGAGCCAGAAGTAGCAGGTGATGGGGTAGTTCCATCATCACAACAATCTAACACAATACAATCTACGATGATGTTTCTCATGAATTCTCATACCAACACTTGCAAGAGATAGTATAATTAAAAGGAAACGGTTATCCGATAATATGTTTTTTTTTTGTTATAATTTAAATGCTATGCCTTAGAATCGTCTATTATTGATCACAGATTCGCTTATTTCAACTATAATCACAGATAATATCGCATCACAAAACCGGGAACAATTCTCGTATCAGAATAAGCACGGCAAAGGAGATCACTTTGGAAACGAAAACTGCAGTTGAACTCTGAGAGACAAGACACTGCAGCCCTTGCACGTTTAACACTGAAGGCTGACTGAATAAAAAATGAACTGGAAGAGATTACATTGGAATAAATAAATGAGATGAACAAAAAAAAAACGAAACCGAAAAAGAACAAAAAAAAAGAGCATCACGCTACATCCACGCGGCCGGACGTTGCGGCGCTTCCTTCGAGCCTCCTATATACAGGGTGTTTCGTGTATCGACATGCTCAAATAAGATCACGATCTCAAGAAATTTTATTATCGAACATCAGCGTTGTTGAGAAAATTAACACAACGTTAATCGTAATTATAAAAATTATATTGCATGACTAACGAAGGCGGGCATCAGAACGGTTCACCTCTCCGCCTTCCATCGAAATAAAACAAAGGAAATGATGACATCACGTCATTTAAAAGTAAAAAGACTTTGTGTGAATGACAAAACGTTGTTTTTGTAATTTCCATTGGCGACCTCAATGCTTTGCTATCAGGAAACGGTTTTGTATTAATCGACACGTATTTTTTGAGATAACGTTGAAGATGAACTTATGGGTATAAATAAAATTGTTAAACGTACTATATATATACTTGAATTATGTTCCGTACTTTAATTACAGATGGTAAGTGTAAATATACATAGCCGTTCGGATATAATGAGAAGGTATAATTTTGCGGCCCCATCCTTCTTTAGCCTTTTACTTCCTCAATTTCAAGTCCTAAGCTATCGTTAGTTTTTTACTGTTCCCTTCGGCTCAAGTCTTAAAGGTGGGATAGCCGTTATTATAATTTAATTAAGACTTGAATCTATAACTACTTAAAATGGGCCGCGGCATTTTCGTTGTCATGTCTATGGGTTAAGGATCTTAAAATTATGTGGACAGTGATTTAGTTCGCTCATCTATGTGAAAGTATATTCTATAGTAGACACACCTATAATAAATATATATAGTTAAAATAGATCGGCCTATAGCTACCGACACATCAACCTGTTCGGTCCATTCATGAAAGTGCGTGCGCGCAGGGCGCGGGGATTAATGAACCCCCTCGTTTCCTACGCTCTGTCTGCACCTACAACCTTAATTTTAACTTTATACTTAAACATTTCAAACTCTATTCGGACGTTTTACAGTTTACTTTCGATTGCACCTTGATTTACCATGGACATTGGGGCATGTATACAAAATTGAGTTTTAAAATTTGTAAATAAGGTACGTTTTACTGTGACAATTGTCGTTGTGTTATGTTAGTTCAAAAATAGCAGAGGTTGTATCCTTGGAAGGTTATATTTTATTTTGGTGCTAGAGGTGTCAGGGAGAGGGGACGAGGTTCGGACTGTGAGAAGTTGCCGCATCTCCGCGGGGCTGTATAAGCATTAACTTTTTATTGTCTAATAGAGCGACGGCAAAGGTGTACCGCCAGGTAAGGCTTTGGCGCCGCTGCTTTAATTATTAAGTCTGGTCGATTCGCCGAACAGAAATTAGAATAGAAACTAATAAGAAAATTAATTACAACAGATTACAAAGAAGCCGAACGAAACAATTTTACAATAGTTGCTACGTTTACGGTTTTCTAATAGTCCTCTCTGCCTCAGAAGTATTACACTTACACTGAAAATTAATAAATACGTTTTAATCCTCTTATTTTAGTCGTCTATACTAATATTATAAAGAGGAAAGATTTGTTTGTTTGTTTGTATTGAATAGGCTCCGAAACTACTGAACCGATTTTACTACTACACTATTCCCGAGTTACATAGGCTATAATCTTTTTTGAAAAAAATTAGGGATCCTTACTAAAATTCCAATAATGTAACCCAAGGTGTAAAAAAATCACCTGAAATATTCTTTACATCGCGTGCCCTGCGAAAACTATTGATGATAGAACAAGCTAATGTACTACGACTTTGTAGATATGTATCATTATCATTTACAAAAAATGTTGCCCCAGCATATGTCTAACTAGTATAGTTATGCGTTCTTTTATTTAAAAAAAATAAAACAACGTCAAATATCGTTGAATTTTTTGTTAAAGAACCGAGCGGAGCCGGAGCGGGCCGCTAGTGTTTGATAAAGGTTAAAATATATTCGAATTTGGAAACTCATACAAAGCTTCTAGAGCGATATGAGGATAATGTTCTAGTAACGCAAATTCGTTGTATAACCAAGTATCTTCTTTATTTTCTCTCGTTTTTAATCAGTAATCAAAACGTTATGCAACATTTAGAAGGTTTTCGAAACTCTTGTAGCCGGTCCCTGTAATTAAAAGAGAATTAGGTCCGTTTTATCATTACTTTTATTTTGTTTGTAGCATCTCCAGCGGAGCGGATCCCTTCGTATTTTTCAAGGAACTTTTGTTCGGACGTGTTCAAGCGTTGTATTGTGATTGGATAATGAAAGTACAAGTGGACTTCTAACAATATCATTTTAAATGAAAACTTTCCGAAATTGACTTTCCGATATTTTTTAATAATTTCTTCAGTTTTCGTAAACATCATTTTTATTTATGAATTGTTCTTTAGCAGTTGAATATAATGTGAACTTACGAATCTGTCAAGATTAAAACATTTATAACAGTCAAAATCAAACAAGAAAATTAAAGACATTTTTAAACGTACAAAATAACAATTTAAAACTTGAAATTATGTTAGCATTATGATCTCAAATAAAAATAAGTAGGCAAGTACTTATGTGATTGATAGTGCTTTATTTCTGGTATTTATCTATATGTACAAAATGAAATTTAATTTTAAAACGACTATTTATTCGCAAATCGCTACAGTTTCGCTGCGATTATGAAATATCATTTTCAAAACACATTAAAACGTTCGAAGGGTATTCAACTTCGAGAGCGGAAACCGCGATCGAAAATGTTATCCTGTTCGAAAATATTTAATAAAGGTCTGATAATATGGGGTACATCCTTCTTGAACAGAGGGGAGGATGTGTGTAATTCGGTGGGCGCGCATGCGTGTGAGGAACTCATCTCGACGGCTGGCTACCGAGACCTCGA